GCTTGTGTCATTCAAGCTCGGCTCTGTGTGTGTGTGTGTGTGGCAATAGCACATTTAGAGAGAGAGGGAGAGAGGAGGAGGGAGGGACCGCTGCCAGCAGGGACCTGTTGTTAGCATCTGGTTAGCTAGCTGCACTAACGGACATAAGGAGCTGTTTGTTCCACAACAAGCTGAAGGAGAGTCCTCTCCTCTCAGACTGAGAGACTCAGGTGAGCTAAAGGACTCTCTGAGTGTTTAGATACTTAACTTTAGTCTAAGTTATCTCAGTGGGTCTCAAACTGTTTGGTCACAAATTATTCAAAAGATTATTTCCGCGGCACACCTTCATATGATCATTATAGTTATAAAAAAAATAAGAGAATAAAGGAAAAACAGTTATGAAATACTATATGGCAGTAAAACAAGAATAGAGTTTAAAAGGGGAGTGATTAGTAAAATATCCATAAAGAAAAAGTACATCTGTTTACAGTTCTGTTTCATATGGGTGCTGAGAGAGGTATCCATAGATCTCTTCATTTTGCTCTCAAAGTGCACCAGATTGATGCATTTAACTTCAATATTTAAAAAAAAATCTTCCCGGGGGAGCATCCCCCCGGACCCCCTAGAGGAGGTGAGGTCTGCCCCCCACTCATAAAAAATACCACTTTACCCCTGCCTATATGCCGTGAGTTGATTATCGAGCCTTTATTGTAACAGTCGCGGGTGTACTGTGTGGGGAGTGTTGCAGTAAAAAATGCCACTAGTGCCGCCGCCACTGTGGGCTAAGCCCCGAATGTTTTCAGGTCCAGGCGACGCCCCTGGTAGCAGTCCTAAACATTTCCCAGTCAGTACAGTCCAAACACGCCTGAAGTTCCTCCATACCTTTACTGCTCCACTGCCTGAATGTCCTCACTACAGGTTTACACAGTTTGAGTTTCTGCCTGTATGCAGGAATCAGGTGAACCATGGTGTGGTCAGATTGGCCCAGTGCAGCGCGGGGGATGGCGTGATAGGCTCCCTTGAAGGTGGTGTAACAGTGATCCAAAATATTCCCCTCTCTGGTGGGGCATTTAACAAACTGTTTGTATTTAGGAAGTTCATGGCTGAGATTGCCTTTGTTAAAGTCACCAAGAACAATAACTATGCAGTCCGGATAAGTCCTCTCCACACATATTGTCTGGTCGGCGAGTGTGTGCACGTTCGCATTCAGTGGGATGTAAACACCGACCAGTTTGAAAAAAAAAAAAAAACATCAATTTGAAATAACAAAACAAATAAAAAAGCAATACTAATGTTCAAAAAATACAAATAGATTAAACATGAATTATTAAATAGTTGGGTTTTACATGTATTTTTCAAGATTTTCAAAACTCTCCTGCTCTCAGAACTCTGTGAATAATTTGCAAAACACTCATGTTTCAAGCCGCAACCATGGTCCAGAAAACATGTTTCCCTGGAAACATAATTTACAGTCGAGTGTCTTTGAATGGGACCATCATTTTGTAGCTTTGCTTAACCAGAAAAGACATAATTCATTCTTTTATAAGCATACTGATTCTGACTTTTTACATCATAAAATATAAATACAATTATTAACAAGACATATTGCAAAGAGACATTACAACTTGAAAAATGTAATAAGATTGATCAAGTTATTCCTGACAGAAATGACCTAAGTTTGCCCTTGTATGAGCAAAAAGATTGAAGAACTAGGGGACTTTATAAATCTGCACAGTGGTGAAGGGTAAGGTTATCCAAATGTGTGTGTGTGTGTGTGTGTGTGTGTGTGTGTGTGTGTGTGTGTGTGTGTGTGTGTGTGTGTGTGTGTGTGTGTGTGTGTGTGTGTGTGTGTGTGTGTGTGTGTGTGTGTGTGTGTGTGTGTGTGTGTGTGTGTGTGTGGTGTGTGTGTGTGTGTGTGTGTGTGTGTGTGTGTGTGTGTGTGTGTGTGTGTGTGTGTGTTGTTTGGATTTGTGCATCCATGGGTGTGCATGCAGATAGAGGCAGTGTGTGTTCACATTTCAGAGGGACGTGAGGCGCAGTCGCTGGGCTTGAATTTAAGCAGAGTGAAGATTGTTTATGGACTGCCAAAAGCAATTAATCTCCCTTCTCTAGAAAAAAAAAATCGGATTAAACGTTCTCGTGGCCCAGTGAATATGTGTCCCCGTAATGGCCGCTCCTCTGTCCCGTTTCCTACCCATAATGCCGTTCCTATAGGCAGGATTCACTGGCTTCACCATAACAAAGGGCTGCACAATGACTGTGGAGTGTAATCACATTCTGCTGCTCGTTTGAATGCTTGTCTTTCACGGTGGGGAAAGAGCATCTGATATTATGACCTTTGATAGAGATGCTGAAGTGCTGGGGGGGGGGGGGGGGGGGGGGTCGATGATTAGAGTTTCATCTGTGTCTCTGGCCGCAGGTGAAACACATGTTCACATGATGATTTGACCTTTTCTGCCGTATTCAGATGAGTATTCTGTATCCTCTCGATGCTCCTTCTGTAAGTGGGTTATGGTTAACATCCTAAAGAGGCTGACTCCAAAATATTTGAACACTCTGACATTATCCCTAATGTATTCAACATGTATAATTCCACAGCTTTTCATGCTCAACACTTAAAAAGTAGTGCTGGTAGAGCAGTTTCTGGTTAATATCATGTCCAGTTCATGGCGGGTGGAGAGAGATTTATTTGGCTGAATGTAGAAGTCACAGAGAAGTACAAACACGGCGCCATCTTGAAGGATGTTCAATAGGAAGACCTCGTATTCCTTATTACACAGCTTAATTAACAACTCGATTCTGATTGGTCAATTCGGACCTTCCAGAGGTCTGTTATTTTCGCAAAAATAAATGCTAAGGGGGATCAAGGGACTATGTGCATTTATATCATCCGCAGAAAGAAGTCAGATGTAGACGACAAACATTTGTTTTCTGCATCAAAAAACATACATTTTTATATGTGTGAAGGGCAGAGGTTAAAAGACAGAGCGCTTGATGTCACAGAAATCAAGAAGACAGACAGAAATTAAACACTAAAGGGAACAGCAGGAGAAGACAGACAGGAAGTAAACACTAACAGACAAAGCAGAAGAAGACAGACAGGAAGTAAACACTGAAGGGAACAGCAGAAGAAGACAGACATGAAGGAATGACTAAAGGGAACAGCAGAAGAAGACAGACAGGAAGTCTTTAAAGGGAACAGCAGACGGAGATAGACCAAGCCCCCAGGAAGTGCGCCGGACTCTGTGCCAATATTCGTTGTGTCCAAACGGCGGTACTGCAACTTCCGTATCAGTCCGTGACGTCACCCGGCCCAAACCAACTTTTTCCCATTGACTAACATGGGGAAAGAGACGTCTGTAAATCGGTGGATAATTTTTTTTTAACTAAATAAACTACCCAGTGTGAACTATTTTATAGCCCTTATTAGAATCATTCGGTCCTTAAACTTGTAAAATGCACTAAAAGCCGAATCTATATTTATTTTCTCTCTCCATTCATTCTAGTGAGCCGAGAGTGGGAGCTCGGGGGGGGGGGGCTTAAGTGGCGCATGCTCTGTGAGTGCACATACGGGTACTTCTGCTCTGACAGCCAGGCATGACGGGTAATCTGTGACGTTTCGCTCTCTCAAAAGTTGGGCCATTTTGTCCTCATGCGCCAATGAGCAGCTCTCATAGGAAAGAACGAGACCCCGCCTCCCACGCTGTATCCAGTTCTTATTATTAGGGCTGTCAAGTTAACGCGTTAATAACGCGTTAACGCAAAAAAAAATTAACGCCACTAATTATTTTAACGCGATTAACGCATGTGTATTTTTTGTCCTCGGCCGCCGTAGTTTCAGAGCGCATCGAGTTTAAAATACCATCGACAAGCTGATGCTGACAGCCCCGCTCCTGCTGCCCGCTTGTGGCAGACCACACTTCCACGCTCACCGGCAGGCCCGGACTGGCCATCGGGAGGACCGGGAGGGTGTGTGTATGTGTGGCGCGAGCGAAGCACACCTTACGTGTTGTTGTTAGCATCTGGTGCTAGCTAGCTGAGCTAACGGATATAAGGAGCTGTTTCAATGAAAACAGAGGAGCGACATTTCGCCGACAACTGCGCCGAGCACTTGACTTTATGCAGGTAGCCAGACAGCACACTCAGCACGGATAGTGCCGCAACACAGCTCATACACACAGGCATATATGCCTTGAGCTGCACACAGCTCCAACGATCCTCCACATTCACACACACACACACACACACACACACACACACACACACACACACACACACACACACACACACACACACACACACACACACACACACACACACACACACAGTATTGTATGAGAGGTTCTAGGTTGAATTGAGGCGAATATTTGTAATGTTCAGAGGTTGTTGTGTTTAATATTCATGAGAATATTTGTCATTGTTCAAATGATAATAAACAAACATATAAAGCATAGTTGTCCACTCATATGTTGATAAGAGTATTAAAAACTTGAAAAATATCCCTCTAAGGTACATTTAGAACAGATAAAAAATGTGCGATTAATTTGCGATTAATCGCGATTAACTATGGACAATCATGCGATTAATCGCGATTAAATATTTTAATCGACTGACAGCCCTACTTATTATACATCCATGAGATAGACAGGAAGTAAACACTGAAAGGAACAGCAGAAGAAGACAGACATGAAGTAAACACTAAAGGGAACAGCAGAAGTAGACAGACATGAAGTAAACACTAAAGGGAACTGCAGAAGAAGACAGACAGGAAGTAAACACTAACAGGAAGTTCAGAAGAAGACAGACAGGAAGTAAACCGACTTGGACAGTTACAGTAAACCTCGATCAGTGCTGCCTGTTAAAACCTCCATTACCAGTACGCTTTTAGTTATGCCATCTGTACACAGCTTTTGTTTGGTCACTTACTGTCAGTGCTGTGAGTGCATCACTCTTAGTCTGGAAGAGGAAAGTGGATATACATTTTTTTTTTGTTCTTGTTGTTCCCTCCCCTCACCCTACAGCTGACAGGCCAACAGCCATCAGACAGGATGTCGTACGGGTCCATTGACGGGGGCTCTTTTGGCAGTCGCAACCCGTTTGGAGGTCCTACGAGTCAGGGCTACCAGCCAGTGGGTGAGTTCTCCATTCTTTCATTTATGAACATGTAAATATATGCTGCACTTTAAAAAGGCCCTACATGTAGCAATTTACCACAATACAAAGGTCTTTTAAATTAATTTACAGGCAGGTATAATTACCACAGACCCAATTTAAAATATCATTTTAATTGACACCCTCTGGTGATGTCAAATGTTTAGATATACTTGTGAGCGAAATATCCTGTATGTCTTGTCAGTTTGGGGTTTTTATTATTTCTATTGTTGCGCTTCTGTTTTTTTGTCAAATGTGATTAAGTTGTTAACTTCTCTCTTCCTGTATAATGCTTTTTGACTACATTTCATCCAATAAAACCATATTCAAATCTTACTGTTGGTAAACAAAGGTGTAAAACTAGCTTATAATAAGCACAGTTACCTTAAACTTTGCCAAAGAGTTTACAAAGTTAATTATGACTTGAAACACATGACAAGACACACTTTAACAATGTGTAATCAGGATTTTTATTTGGTGCTTGGAAGCCACAGAACATGGACGTGGTATCACCTTGTAAACAAACTAGCAAACAGATGACTATTTACACAGCAAACACATGTCTCTGGGGAAGACTATAAAAGAAAATCCAATATTCACTCATAATGTATGCTCTGGTTTGGTCTCCACCGACTCCTGGGGAAGGGTCTGTCTCTTTAGCCAATACAGGCTCCACTATGTTCACCAAGTAATGCCTAACTCTTACCCTCTGCTGTTTAGTGACAGGCAGGTGGTTTCCAAGTGTCTTTATCGTGTGTGGCGGCTGCAGGAAATCGTGAAGTTGGTGGTTTGATCCCAAGGCCCTAAATCAAGTTGTTGATGTGTCACTGCGGCAAAGTGAGCCCTGTATTTCTCGTGATGACCAAAAGGGTCTGTGAGTGTGTGTGAATGTTAGTCTCCTGAGCAGGTGCACTTTGTATAACAGCCTCTGCCTTTGTATGGGTGAAGGCTGACTTGTATATGTAAAGAGCTTTGAGGGTTTGCAAAGACTGGAAAATTGCTTTTGAAATGCATTCCATTTACCATGATAGCATTTCTGAAAACGGCTGCCACTGTCCTGCTTACACCCACCCCAATGTTCACATTAATAAAACATTGTGTGTCATTAATGTAAGGATAACCCTCACAGAAAGTTATCCTGGTTAGATTTAAAAAAGGAACCCATTCCCTTTGTGTCTTACAAGTATTTAACCTCTGGGGGGAACGTCCAACACTCCTGGTTGTTGGTGCAACGAGCAGATATCTGTCTTTTCCTGTGTGTTTATTGACAGTCAGAAAAAGCAACTTAAGAATGAATGAAGAAGTTGAGAATCGCCAAAACTATATTGTGTGTCCACCTTTTCATAAGTTAATATTTTAGGTGGAGAGTATATATTAAGGAGGAGACTGCAGGTTATACAAATGAACCAGATAAAAAGAAAAAAACATTTGTATTGTACTTTTAAAGTCCCTTCCTAAAATAAATTCCTGCTAACAGGGAATCACAGCAGCACTCATGTCTTATGGCTTAAAACTGTGGCTGGCATTAATATTAGAAGTCAGCCACTACTAATAAGCAGGTAATCAGGGTTGGGTGTTCCCGTCATCACAACACATGTATTAGTCATGAAGTTACAATTCAAGCAATCAGCACTTGTTCACGAGAAATACATACATATGTATTACATGAAATTACAACAATTACATGGAAGAAAAGCCAAAATAAGTGTTGTACAATCCACTCTGAGTTTCCTGTTTGTTCAGCTTGACGTTCCCACAAATGTATATAATTACCTACAGAGTGTGTGTGTGTGTGTGTGTGTGTGTGTGTGTGTGTGTGTGTGTGTGTGTGTGTGTGTGTGTGTGTGTGTGTGTGTGTGTGTGTGTGTGTGTGTGTGTGTGTGTGTGTGTGTGTGTGTGTGTGTGTGTGTGTGTGTGTGTGTGTGTGTGTGTGTGTGTGTGTGTGTGTGTGTGTGTGTGTGTGTGTGTGTGCAGAGGTCACAGGTTTTCACAAGGATTAAGCGGTGTGAAAAGCAGCCTCATTGGATTTGATCCTCTCGCTGCTTTCATTAGCCTACTAACAACTCGAGGAGGAGCAAGACACAGCCCTGAGGCAAAAACTTTTACCAGACAAACTGAAGGTGTGTGTGTGTGTGTGTGTGTGTGTGTGTGTGTGTGTGTGTGTGTGTGTGTGTGTGTGTGTGTGTGTGTGTGTGTGTGTGTGTGTGTGTGTGTGTGTGTGTGTGTGTGTGTGTGTGTGTGTGTGTGTGTGTGTGTGTGTGTGTGTGTGTGTGTGTGTGTGTGTGTGTTCGAGAGAGAAAGATTGACAGATGGGGAGAGTCAGTACATACAGTTGGAAATGAATAGATGGCAAGGACAATTACCTAACATTTCATGATGAGGGCCAGACAAAGAGACATTTCTAAAAGTCAAGAATATCCATGTGCATGAATGAGAAACTTGTGTTATATTCTGAAAGGACACTCACAGGCCCCCTTACATCCTAATACACAAAGGACCTCACCGAATGCATTCCATCTCCTTTTAAAGGGAGTCTGTATAGAACAGAATATGTCTTTATATATCTTTGGATCCAATTACTACTGTAAAAAGCAACATAATGGGTACCTCATGTGGCACTGTCCCTACATACATATATATCTGATATGATATTCATCCGTTTAGAAGTCTAGTCTACCAGCCATATCCTGTCCAAATTTGTGTGTAAACTGCAAGTAAACGATAACGTTTATGGTTAAGTGTTAGCACCCCCTGAAGAGGCACAAGCTCTTACGTTGATATTGGAGTTTTCAATAAATTCAATTTGGAAAAAAAACAGGGAAAAAACAAACAAAACGAATATCCGAATAACGAAATTGAAACCCGAATAGTACTCCAACGAACGAATATTCGGATATTCGGATATCCGGGTACAGCTCTAATGTATATACAGTATACATACATTTGTATATTTTTATATATTCTTTTTCTCTGGGTGATAAACGGCATTTCAATCTCACGTTTATAACACACACACAGAAACTGATAATAAAGTTGATTATAGTCAAATCTACTTTTCATATACACTATGCCAGGGGTTTTCAAAGTGTGGGAAGGTGAGCCTCCCCTCAGAGAACATAAGAACAGCCGTGCCCCCCCTCCCAATTATTATTGCTATTATTATTATTATTGTTGTTGTTCTTGTTGTTGTTGCTATAATGCAGGGGCATTCAATTGCATTTCAAAGAGGTCCAGTAAGAGAAAATGTCATTAAATGCTCTGTTTTCGCTGTCTACCTTCCGCCATTTGAAATGACTCAGACTGTTTCTCTCCTCTTGTCTCGTCTCTGTGTGTGTGTTTGAATCTATCGTGCTGACTCACTGACTGCACCGATTTGATTGGCTGAGTAGCGTCACCTCCTTAAAACATTAAACAATAACTTTTTCAAACCTTTTTATCTTTATGTTTTAAACATATTGTATAAAACTCCCCCACTACTTGGACTATTCCTTGCACCCCTCTAGAATAAGCCCGACTGGTCTCAACCATATTGCATCAGTAACGTGCACTTGTTGTTATAACAAGATCGCAAGGACACTGGCTGCGATCGGACAATTGAGTGTTGTTCAGTTTGTGTGTTGTGGAACATGCGTGTGCGTGCATGAAAATATACCACACACCCAATTACAATTGCATGTTCAATTCACTACCCTGGAAGTTAGGGATGCTCCGATCGATCGGTCACCGATCGAGATCTGCCGATACTCACTCTCTACCGATCGATCGGTGCTCTCTAAACATGCCGATCGTGAGAGCCGATCGCATAATGTAAAATACATGACACTTTTCTCTGTATGCGGCAAAACAAGCTCGCCAAAATGGCTTCACCGGTCTGGCATTATTTTAAGGTGTCCGAAAAAGACAGTAAAATAGCGGTATGCAACGTGTGTGTGAAGCAGAAATCCTGCAGCTCCACCCGCTGTGATGGGCGGTGTGAGCGGAGCGAAACACACAAGAGTTAGACCTAACACACTTAGCTATTTTATCTACTTCTGGAACAAGCTAAACTAGTTATAAATATGTTTATTCTTCACTGTCGGCCTCACACATTACTGGATCAGCGAGCTGCATGAGACGATACTGACGGGCTGTCAGGAGAGGGAGAGAGGGGGAGAGAGAGGGGGAGAGAGAGAGGGAGAGAGAGGAAAAGAGAGCGCTTGCTAATTTCTCCCATGGTATTATCCAAAGTGAATGTAAACTTGAATAATATACATAATTTGAATGTAATAATTAAGTTGATTGTTGTTTGTGGAAGCTCCAGTGAATGAGCCCCATTAACTGAGTTTTAAACATCACTTTAAATGGAAGATTTAAAGTGATGTTCGGATCGGATCGGCGATCGGTATCGGCAGATACTGATTCCGGCGATCGGCGATCGGCCCCAAAATTGGCAATCGGAGCATCCCTACTGGAAGTTAATAAAGTTGTTAAAGTTGGAACAGCCTGTGGACAGCCGTTCTTCCTTGCATGTCAGTCGCCGACACCTTCTTACAGAGGACAGGCAAATCTAGCTGCAGCACGACCCGTATATTTTCGCACGCCGTGTTCTCAACACATATTTTTTTACATTTTCAACATCGTGGATACATCCTTATATGCTCCCGGCAACACACTGAACGTCAACTTTGCCTCCTTATTACACTCACCCCTACTTTAGTGGGAACAATGAGTCTGCGTCTTTGATGCACAGGAATAAACGCAGATCATCCTCTGGCTGCAGCCTTGACCGGCACTTCCTTTGATCAAAGTCAATGCGGAAAACCCGCACTCACACAGGTAGGTGGAGGTGAAGGGAATGAGCACTTTTACAGCCTTTTTGGCGAGGTGGGGGAACTCGGTCTCCACAGACAGCCAAAAGTGGGCAAGTGTCACTTTACTCATCTTTTTCTCGTTATTTTTTGTCTCACGCTGCGCCTCCCCTGAAGCTCTCTGGCGCCCCCCAG